ATCTCTTTATAAAATTTGTTGAAAGTTAAAACTTATGATAATCGAAAAAAAATAAAATAAAAAATAAAAAAAAAAACTTAAAGTATTAATTTTTTGAAAAAAAGTTACTTTTAAAATTATTTTCAAGAATAAAACAAGTCATCTACTAGTGTCAAGAAACATGACCAAACGACTAATCAAGAACAGCAGCGTGGTTTTGTATTATTCACAAGTCACACACGCATGACAAAAATGATGGGGAGGGAGAAAGGCGGCGGTGACTGGGATATTATTTGCCTTATATGGAGCGAGCAGGTGTTCCCTTTGGAACGAACCCGCACACGGCAACCTGCATGACACGTGCAATTGGTTGACACTGGAAAGACGTTGAAAGTTACAACGGTGGGGTTGGTCTTCTTGCATAGTACACAAGTAATGTTTAATTGCTGCAGTGAGGGGGGGGGGTCTTAGTGATTTTTTTTTTTTTAGAGAGATAGGGACCGGTAATTGAAGTGATCATGAGATGAGATATTAAGTAGTAGTTTTTTTTGTTTGTTTTTTTTACTTACTACTTCGAATAGTCAGTGACTTAGTCAAGTTTGGTATAAGGCCAATGGTTATTTTTCGAAATGAATCATAGAAACATGGTTGTTACAACTGTGCCTGCCATGAAATTCGGCGTTAGGGCTCTTGAATCGATTGAATTTAGTTTTTTACGGCTTATCAATTTTTGTGCGTTAAAGCCGAAACATATTTTGGAGTACAAGAGCAATTATTTTTTTACGAGTGAATATTGAATATATTTTTAAAACAATGATTTTCCAAATACACATCCTACTATTTACCCCATAGCTGGGGGAGACCTTTCGCAAAGGTATTTTTACGCGTAAATAAAGAACACGACTGGAATTTAGGAGCTCTTGGAAGCAAAAACACAAATGCTTATTATTTTAAAAAAAGTAATTTGCCGTGAGTTAAAAAAAAAAAACAGTTGTTAAGCTCGATTATCACCTAGTGCTCAACACATGTGGTCATGTGTCTGATTAAGTTAACTTAATAAAAAAAAATACCCACAAGTACTATTATTAATAACGGCTTCATTAGGACTGAAAACACAAATGCGCAGGTAAAAAAAAAATAAGGGTGGACTAAAAAAGTTGTTTATAAATTATAAACAACTTTAATACAAAAAAAAACATTCCAAATTATAATGCAATAAATTACACTAGTTTAAATGATTTGTTTTCATTGTAATCAAAGCAAACACAACAATGATTGGTGTCTATAACTTTTTAATTGCTCGCAATATGAGGCGTTAAAAATATCCCTGTTGCATGAGCGCAATTTTTGTTATCAGCTGTCATTTGGCAGCAAAGGCTATTTCACATCATTGACAATAGCGTCAACAAAGCCTCGCTGTTCGTTTTTGTGTTTCGCAACAAAAACTATTTTATATTGCTTCGTGAAAGAAAGCAGGGACAGACAGAGTGTAGTAAATGAAATTGAAATACAACGGTTGGTTTGATCGTGATGATAACGAACAGTCGGACCAAAGTTCGTTGATTGCTGAACTGAAGAATTTATTATCCATCGTAGACTGGCAACAGACTTAATGGAAAAAAAGCACAAATTTACACAAGTCATGATTTTTTATGTTTTTATTAATTCAAAATGACAAAGAGGGAAAAATTAAATAAGATCTAAAGTACGTTGTAAATTGTACAACAAATTAAAATTAAATAAATTATTTTTTTTATTTATTCACCAAGTAAACATTGAATTATCGATTAAAGTAAACTGAAAAAAAAAATGATTTATTTTATTTTTATTAATTAGAAATAATTTTTAACAGTTTACAAAAGGAAAATAATTTTTTTTAAAATAGACTTTTTAGACCAAATTTATTTTTTACTAGTCATTTTTTTTCCTCCTTTACAACGATATGAATGGCAACGGTTTAAAAACATTAGAGACAAAATACAAATTAAACGTAAAGAAAAAACGATTTAAAATCTTTTTTTAATTATAATTTATCTTGTTATTAATTAAAAAAAGTTGTGTTCTTATTATATTTCGATCAATTAATTAACAGTTAATTGATCGAAATTTACGTTTCATTCAAAATTTTAGATAAGACCACAAGCGCAACATTTAAAAAAATGTCTAATTAAAAAAAATTCAAATATCTGCAAAATGGCAAAATTAATTATTTTTGTAAATATGAACAGTAAGTATTTCTCGGATAAAAAAATGCCTCAAATAAAGATAAAAAATAGAGATGATCTTGTTTATGAAGAGAGAAGAAAACAAGTAAAACATGAAATCGCAACGTTCATCATCTTGTTGATGTTATTGTTTGGGCACGGGGAAACTCGCGTGCCCACACTCACAAAGGAGGTAAGTTTCTTTTTAAGAGGAGGAGGAAAAAAAAAAAAAAGAACGTTACAAAAAAAACAAAGCCGAATAAGATCGAAGCAATCGATTGCAACATTCTTCCATACATTTCATTTTCATTGGTCGATATAGCAATCTAAGACGCTAAAAAACTTGAAACCACGTATTTTCGTCTTGAAACCAGTTTTCAAAAGTTCCTGGGTTTGTAAGGAACAAATGAAATGTATTGTAACTGCTTGACTCATAAAATGTATATTAATCTTCTTAGATGATCATTGTCGTAAGATTTTCAAACTGACATATGTCATTACATATCGATTCTTTAAAACGTGTCATACGAAATAAAATAGATTTTTTTTCATTTCATCTTATCTGGTCAGGATTTATTATCTTTGTTGGGCTAAACCTGCTTATGAAAGAGAGTAATGATCCTAAAAACTGACAGATCAATTTCACATGAACAACAAACCAGAGGATGAAGAAATGTTTCCTAACGAACATATTCGCAAGCATCAAATAATCGATGCGTTCATGAAATGTTAAATAAATTTTGTTGAAGCATTCTTTTCTTTTTTTAAATTCAACAAAATTTCCGAAATAATAATAATAATAAAAAAAAAAAAAGAAATGTCCCAATAAGTCTACATGTCATTGTCAAATTTTATTCAAACAAATGTTGTGTATCGCACTAAAAACCAACAACTAATACATTTTTAATTCAAAAATTTGTTTAAACATCCAATAATTCATCATGGGATGGAATTTTTGTAAAATTTTTATCCTTTTCCAAATGCACCGGCCAGACACACAAGATCAATATTTTATTGTGTTCAATTTCTATGGAAACGACTAAAAAGAAATATTCATGTAGGTATTTACCTACACGTTCACTCAACAAACACAACGTGGCCTAAATTCGAGTTTAAAATGGGGACCTCACCTGGGACCAGAGTCCAAAAATAGTTTAGTTTCCTCAGTACTTGTCCTTTTTAGGTATGACCCTAACTCTCTTTGAGGGTGAGACAGATTCCTTAAACTGGACTGGACTCTTTAAGTGCTAATATTGACAAAAGTATTTTTTACCAAATATTAGTCTGGAAATATAACCTGAAAATTGCTATTAAAAAAAATAAAATAAAATAAAAAACTGCTATTCAAAATTTGCCAAAGAAAATCCAAGTCTTAGAATTATTAGTTCATCTCGCAACAGAAATTTAAAGTAACAGGTTAGCAGTCAATTAGCTGAAAAATATTGGCACTAGTGATTATTGTTAAGGATTTAGTTTAAAAAAGGAAATAAATTTTATGCATTATTTACTTTATTCAGACCGTTATCCTCATCTTCATTGTCATATTCACTATGTTTCAGCCGTTGTATGCACCAGCCTTCTTCAGGTGATTGGAATTTTGAACTGAACCCTTTATTTCATCCACAGGGGGTAGATTATTCTAGTTCCACGTGCTATGCCTCTTCCGGATATCTCATTTATTTCCCTTTAACTTAACTCTCTAAATTTTGGTTCACCACTACTGTGGCATGGTATTGAACTTACAACTCCTTGGATCTAGTTACTGGATCTAACCAACATCTTTATCCACTGGGCCATATGAACAAAATAAAGGGTTCAGTTCGAAATTACAATCACCTGAATAAGGGTGGAGCATGAAATGGTGAAGTGGTGTGAATATGGTAATGAAGATGAGGATTGAATAATGTAAGTAATGCAAGTAATCATAATACCTCATCTCAAATATATAGACAGATACAAATTTTATGGTTGTGAGTTCAAATTAATTATGTAACTGAAAGTAGATTTTTACTTTTTATGAATAGTTCATTACACATGTAATGAATGGAGTGAACAGGAGCTTTGAGGCATTCATTTTTAATATATTCCACCTGTGATATCAGAGCTTATATAAATATCTGGTAATAAAATATCTGACTTGCTAAACATTTTATCTTCACCTGGGTCACAGGTTTATTTAATCAGGTAGAACTGAGCAATAATAATGGAAAGTCAATATTTTCAAGCCTACTGTATGAAGTGTTGAGAGTGTATTTTTTTTATTAATATTTCTAATCATTTTAATTTCAGTTGTTTCTCATAATTAGTCATACAAGCATTGTATGGTCATTAGTAAACAAAACAATTAGTAAAAAGTTCACAGAAAGAGTTGAACACATATCCATTTGGCTTTGAAAACCTATTTTATTGAGATAGCTGCTCTGACCAGTTATGAGAAAAAGTTTATTATCATAGATTATTGAAAGTAAAACAACTATCATGGCATATATGATGATTGTCAACTTGTTTTTAAACAATTATGGTTATCATTGACAAGTTTCCCATCTATCCAGGTTTGGGAATTCAAGGATTTTCCTTTTTACCAACCAAGGATGAAGAGCCCAGTGTGGCCTACTATTTAACCCATAGCTGGGAATGAATTTATAGCTTTCCCCAAAGGCATTTGTGTGAAAGCGTATGTGATATAAACTGGAATTCAAACAGCTCACCACTTACCATTACATCACTCACATATCCATCAAAAATAGATATAAAGATGTAAGCAATGAGTGTGCTGTAAATCGCATTCTATCTTACCAATATAAGTTTAGGCATATGGCCATATGTTGAAACACCAGTTCTTGTACGATCACTGAAGTTAAGCAACATCAAACCTGGTCAGTACTTAGATGGGTGACCACTCGAAAATACCAGATGCTATAAGCTTGGATGTGTGACTGGTGTCATGGATAACAAGTTCCAATTCCAGTCAGGTTTGTTATATTCACTTAAGCACAAATATCATTGGGGAAAGTTATGAATTTACCTCTTCTCCCCCAGCTATGGGCTAATTAGTAATTTGTCAGTAAATCATTATTTTCTCAAAAACATTTTACAATCGGAAGATATTTTCTGGGTTTAAATAACCTGAAAAATGTTGATAAGCTATTAAAAAAATAAAAATAAAAAATAACCAACTAATGTTGGTTGGAATAAAATTTGGTTTTCTGAGGAACACACACATACACAAGGTATGTTAGTATATGGTAAATATAAAACAATTTGTAAAACTTTTTTTTTTTTTTTTTTTTCCACATGTTTTGGTGATCAATGCTGTGAGAAAAAAATTTTATTCCAACCAACATTAGTTGGTTATTTTTTTTTTATAGCTTATCAACCCTTTTAAAAAACAGTGGCTCCTATTGCTATTAAGCATTACACTTCAAGTATGAAGAGAGTTCTCCGAGCAGCTGGCATATTTCATACAAATAAAAAAAAAAAAAAAAAAAAAAAGTCAAAAATTCCCTTTCTCCTTGCCGTACAACAATGGCCTAGGGTTAAGATATGACTGTTGTCAAATCAGTTGGGTTTCGATCCCGGCTTGAAGCAATCAGATGTCTAGGCACACTGAGGAGCTGTGATACAGTGAAACAGTCTGTGGCTGATTTTATTTTTTTTTTATATTTTTTTATATATATATATATATATATATATATATATATATATATATATATTATATATATATATATATTTTGGGTACTCGAGACAGGGTAATGGTTAGCAAGCTTGTCTCGTTAGAACAATTACAACTGAGTAATGAGTTCAATACTCACTGGGTGCCCCATACTTTTAGCCTTGTGCCACATTTGGGCTACATGCTTGGAAAATTATATATATATATATATATATATATATATATATATATATATATATATATATATATATATTAAAAGTTCTAAAGTATAAAATATAGGTACCTCCACGAAATCGCTAAAAAAAGAGCATAGCTTGATGAAAAAGACGCCAACCTTGCCGAAAACAAAATTTTATTGTCTAAATGCTTATGTTATTATTGAGAGGAAAGACCAAAGTTTTTTTTTTTAATTATTTTAAAAAAATTTTCCTTCTTTTTAGAACATTCTAAATTTTGATTAAAAAAACCTTGTTTCTATTTGTATCAGCAGAACTAGTAAATAACAGACAATTTTTAGCATGTTTTTTTGGTATGACACACATTAATTTGAAAAATCGTGCAAAAATAGAAATAATTATCGGATGTTAATGAAACTTTCAGGAACTATTCACAGATGATCGAAATTATTATAAATATGTTTTTTTTTTTTATGAAAGTCATGGTACAAATATTTTTAAAAATATTTATTACCCCCCATAACTAATTTTATGAAAACGCTAGAAATTCGATCGCATCGGTTTTAGTGATTACAATAATTAAAAGCACAGGGCTTTGAGGAATGCAAATCATGTTTTTTTTGTTTTTAATTGGATACGCAGTACCTGAAAATCAGCTCTGAATTGTAACATACAAAACTCAATAAAACAAAGATATTATTTAATTTCAAATGCTTTTATTTGCTTTTAGTTGTTTTTATGAATATGGACAATATTTTCTGAAAGCAAAAAAAATTTTTCAATGAAAATGAATTTTTAATACAATTATTTGTTATTTTATTAATTATAATAGATTTTACATTTAAGTTGTTAAAATATTATAAAATTAGTTAAAAAAGTCGCATCGGCTTTCATAAGTGTCCTTATGAGATAGATCTTTTTTTTTTTTAGCGCGTTTTAAATTGTATCATTTTGACTAATCAGAAGATCCCCAGCAATTAAGAAATGTAATTTTGTGCTTATAATCGAGCTGTAATTATAAAATACGGAAGACCAACCAGAATATAATTAAGTTGCGTTATTTGAGTTAAGCATTGTTCTCCGCTGTTAAGGCCTTTACTTTTTATGAAACACGTGTGGAGAAGTTAATTTGATTTTTCAATTTCAACTGAGAAGGGTACCTACAAGTATCAGTATCATCTTATGAAATTTATATGATCTTATTTTTATATTAATCTCAGTTACGACATTTTTCCATAAATGAAATATCAAAATTAATAATAAAATGAATGCAAATACAAATAACAGTAGAATGTAATAAATGTACATAAAATTATAGTATTTTATGTACAATTCTGATAAAATTTCATAAGAAAGGTACCTATAAATTAATTAGATAACTTTCTTAAGAAATATGAAATTTAATGTCACTCTTAACAGTTTTATTTTAATTTCTTTACAATATATTTCCCATAAAGCATCATAAACGTAAAGGTGAAAGCTAAGTACAAAAAAAAAAAAAAAAAAATTAGACCACTGAAAGTTTTTGTTAAAAATAACGGGGTAAATAATTTGTTCACGTAAATGTAAATTATTTCACTTTTCTCCTTCCGTAGAACAAATTAGCCTCATAGAATTCGTAAATATATCATTCATCACATGTCAAGAGACGCAAAAGTTTATGACCTGCTTTGTTTTATTTTCAAATTACATCTTTTTGGCACAAATGCTAAGTTTGGTTCAAAATATTTTAAATAAACATTATAATTTCTGATTTTCTTAAAATAAGTTTTGAAAAATGATAATTGATATTTAAAAAAATTTCAAAGTCAGATTTCAGTTTTTTTTAAAATGGAAAAAATGGTCAATTTTGCTGACTCAAAAAACTAGATTTTAACGAAAATTTTGGACGTGCGAGGAACGATTAAAAAATGGAAAAAAAATACCCCAAAAAATACTTTGACCTTTCCTCTTAATAATAACAAACATTTAGACGATAAAATTTTGTTTTCGTCAAGTTTGGCGTCTTTTTCATCATGCTATGCTCTTTTTTTAGCGATCTCGTGGAGGTACCTAATATTACACATGTGCTAACAGTAATTCAGTCATCCTCGAGCCATTAGTAAATAGCATGGTTCAGAAATTAAATGGAAAGAAACACTAGTTAAAAATTAATAATGGTTGACAATGTTTCATGTAATAAAAAAAATTTAAAAAAAAATGAAAATATTAATGAAATATTTAGAAGTAGATTTATTGAAAGAAATTAACTAAATCCCCATTGGAAGTCACTACTGTAAAAGTTTTCTGAAATCGAGACAGTCTATCGTTTTTGGTAAAATACAAATAGTTGAAATTCATGCAAGATATGACTGGTCTCCACTGAAAGGAAACTTATAGCTGAAGAATTGAGTAAGTAGAAAGACAAGACTGACAGACTGGGGGGGGGGGAATTACAGAGTAAAACAAGAACAGAGCAACTGGGAAAAATCAGATCTTTCTTTAAAAAAATTTTTCATTGAAACTTTGACAAAAAAAAAAAATGAATAAAAATAAAGACATTTTTTTATGACTGGAAATGGCATCAAAGAAAAGAAATATAATACAAGTGAAATAAGAGCCAAATATAACCAACATTTTTTTTTTTTAAATTTTAAAGTTGTTTACAGCAATTTCAAGTAATAACTCATCTAAAACTTAAGCTAAAGAGTTAACTTTATAATAGAAAAACAAAAATTCAAGATTTTAGTAATAATATATTATTAGGACATTTTAACTTGTCTTCTTAGGAGGTGAGGCAAACAGATCACTCATTCCTCATTGTGGATTAACAGGTCATTTTGATTTATACTGATATTCATTTATACTTATACTGTGCTAACAGCTATCACTGAATATGTAAATCAAGCTCTTGATAATAACAGCAAAGCTCAAGCTGTGTCTCTAGATAACTCAAAGGCATTTGACAGGGTTTGGCATGCTGGTCTTCTACATAAGCTCCAGGGTTACAGTATTACAATACAATTGTTTGAGTTAATCCAATCATTTCTATCAAATTGTGAAATCAATGTCATTTTGAACAGGCATAGTTCCAGAGCCTTTCACATGAACATGGGCGTTCCTCAAGGCTCTATCCTGGGTCCTACACCATTTCTGATCTTCATCAATGATCTTCCTGATGTCATCAGTTCCCAAGTAGGCATTTATGCTGATGACACTACCATTTACTCCAGCCTCAATAGCAAATCCGTCAGAGCTGACAAAGTTAATCTGGCTGCTGCTCTTGAAAAGGATCTCTAATCAGTGGTTAACTGGAGCAGGAAATGGCTTGTAAATTTTAGTTCCTCTAAAATGAAACTGTTCTCATTTAACTACCCTAGTGAAACTTTCCTGTCCACCATCAGCATGGCTGATGCTAGACTCCTGGAGAGCAACATACTGTGCCTTCTTGGCCTCAAGTTTTCAACTGACTTGAAGTGGAACAAATATATTGAATCAATAGCTGCATCTGCTGCAAGGAAAGTTAGGTCACTGTATAGTGACAGGAGGTTTTTCTTGTTGGAGTCCATCTTGCATATTTACAAATATACCACTCATCCTTGCATTGAATACTATTGCCATTTATGGTCTGGTACTACTCATCTTGAGGTTCTTGACAAAATCCAAAAGAGAACCTGCAATGTAACTGATCCTGGCTTGGTATCTTGACTTCAGTCACTTTCTCACTGACATGATGTGGTTTTCCTCTGTCTTTCCTACAAATATTTTCATGGCAACTGCTCTGATGAGCTTTTTTCTCTGATGTCCCAACTACATGGATTTAAGCGTGCTACTAGATTGGCATCTAGGTCCCATCCTTTTACTGTTGAAATAGTTAAATATAACTACCACTTCTACTCCAACAGTTTCTTTTCTCACACTATTAGTGGCATTCCCACCTTGCTTAGTGTGAATTGATTAAAAAAAAGAAGTACAATACAATTGTTTTATGTAACCTCACCAACTTTACATCTCTATGGTATTATTTTTTGGTGGCGTTTTTGCAACAAGATTGCCAGTAAGATACATTCTGAATATAGCTTGGTACTTTA